TGTGTGTGGGGGGGGGTTGGGGGAGGGGGGTGGAGATGAAGAAAGCTGATAGATAGTTCAGGATTCAGAGAGCCAGGAGGGTGGGATTGAGTTCGGGGGGCCAGGCAGGGCCTCTGCCTTCTTCTTGGGGAATTCCATCTCTTGCCTTTTCCCATCTTTGGGATGCTTATCTCACCGTGTCCTCTTTCAGCTGCTTGTGTCCTTGAGAAGAGATGGGGATATGGCTGCCTGGCTGGGGGGGCGAGCCTCTCTGGATGCCAGGCCGCCCAGGCCCAGGCGCTGGCTGGGGGTGGGGTGGCAACCTGGGCCCAGGTACTGGGTGAGGTGTGAACCAGGCTGCCTCCTTGCCATGTGGCGAGAAGGTGGCAGCAGGAGGTGTGAGTGAGCAGCTGGCACCGAGGGAACCCATGCCAGAGCACAGAGCCCACCCCCCTCCTGGGCTTGCCCCACAGGGTCCTCAACCCCAGTAGCCAGAGAGCTCTAGGGCCAGCCCACTGGCAGAGGTGGGCAGCCACCTGCCCAGCAGTGCTCGGTCCCTCTTTCTCCTGCCCTAGGCTCTAGTACCAAGGCCTTGAAGGAGCCCCCTTCTGTGGACAGTGTCCATCCCCCCCACCAGGAGACCCACCCCTGGGAATAGCTCCCCCCCATTCTGTATTTCTTCTTTTCATTTCCTCCAAAGTCTGTGCTGCACACACATGTGCACACACCTGTGCACACACACATCCACATGTCCCTTTGCCAAGAGCTACACACACATGCACACACATGCACATGCACTTGACTCCCTTTCACTGGTAGCCCATTCCTCCTGGGTGCAGATCAGCCTTTGTGCTCCTAGACGCTGGGAGGCAGGCCCTGCCCGATCCGGGTGCCCCTGGGGCTGTGGGGGAGGCACCGCTGCAGCAGGGCCTCCTCATGCTTTCCCTGAGGGGCTGGAATTCACACTGAGTCTGCAGCAGGGCTGGGGGTGGGGAACTGGGAAACCTGCTGGGGCCTCAGGCAGGTGAGTGCAACACTCTGCTCCAAAAATACTCTGTGATCTTAGCTCTTTCTCTAGAAAACAGTGATGTCACTGGTAGCCAATCAGCTTCCGGAAGGTCTTGCCTCCTCCTCCTTCTGCAACTTGCAGGGGAGAAGCTGGAGAGGGGTGGGGGAGGGGGAGGAAGAGAAGGAGAGACACCAGGAGACACACCGACAACAGACAGACAGACACAGAACGCGATGGAACATGGAAACACACGGGCACACACCGACAGAGGCCCACACGGGAAATAAAGCCGGCAGAACCCCTTCCCCATGCACAGCCAGACAAATCCATGTGCCCCCCAACACACACACACACACAGTCTGATAGAGACATTGAAACAGGGAGACAGGAAAGCAGACAGAATCACCCGCAGAGAGTGGGAGCTAGAGAGACAGAGACACAAAGAGAGAGAGACACACAGACACGGGAAAGGAGCAAGAAAGAGAGCAGACAGACACTGCAGAGGCAGTGACAACTAGAGAAAGACAGAGAGAGGCATGAAGGAGAGACAAAGACGAAGGAAGGAAGCAGGCAGGGGCACACAGGGGTCAGAGGTGTATGAAGAACCAGAGGCAGCTGACAGACAGACAGTCAGTCAGACAGACAGACAGACAAATAGACAGACAGACAGACTGCTCTTCTGGGCATCCTCTCCATGCAGTAGTGGGCGGGCCCAGTGGCTCCCTGCTTTCCAGCCTCAGTGAGCAGCTGCTGTCCATGGTGCTGCCTGCAGGGACCGGGAGGGGAAGCGGGTGGGATGGGGGAAGCCGTGTTCTCCTCCGGGCTGTGTTGGGTGGTGTGAGGGAAGGCCTGATGGGGAGGCTTCCTCCGCTGCCCCTTTGGTTGGGAAGTAAGCTGGACAAGGTGACCCTGTGGGCACAGAGGCCGGTGTGGGAGTGAGGAGTGTCCGGCGGGAGGTGGGGGCTGCACACATCCTGTCGGGGCTCTAGCGTTGAGGGGTCCAGGAGCCTGCTGTCGGAAGTGTGAAGCAGTGTCTGGGTTAACCTCCAGCTTGGGGGGGGCTGGATCTCTCACTGTGTCCCCCTCCGCTGCCAGGAGGATGGGTGCACCCTGTCCAGCTGTATGGTTTGTCCTCTGCTCATGGAATGGTGTTTTCCCCTCAGCTGGCTGGGGTTAGCGGGCCCCAGGGCCCCTCTGTCCCCAGCACCCTGCTCTCCTAATGGTGATATGTGGGGCTTTGCAGCATGATGGGTTTGGGGCTTGGAACCGGGAGAGCTGGAGCTCCCCCTACCCCCCACTGCAGGCCCAGCAGGGAGTGGGAGGAGGGGCCTGGCCGGGCTTTTCTCTCTAGTGTTGCCCCTAGCAGCCTCTGCTCAGCTTGTAGGGATTCCCTGCTCCTGTGTGGAGCACTCTTGTTTTGTGCTGCCAACATCAGACTGAGTGGGGTGGGTGTAGGAGGAGGGGCGGGAGGAGGCAGGGAGCGCCACCAGGCTCTGGCGCGAAGCCTCCTGGTGCAGGGAGATAGTCTGGATCCACCCTCAGCCATAGCGGCCCTGGCCACGGGTCTGCTGAGGCCCCTTCATCTTCTCAGTGTCCAGACCCCTTAGAATTCTTGGGGCGGGGGGTGTCACAGGGAGGGCTTGGAAATGGCTTCGCTCTTTTGGGGGGTGGGTAGGGCTGGCCTGCAGGATGGGGAGAACTCCCTCCCTGTGCTCTTCCCCCCTCCTCTTCTCCTGAGGTTCATGGTTGGCAGGGTGTGGGGGGGTGGAGGATGCACTGGGGACCCCCTGGGGGGTGAGCGAGCTCCTCTTCAGGAGGAGGGCTGCGTATAGCCGGCCCGGGGAGGGGGCAGAGGTCTTTGGACGTGGGCAGGGGGCTGCCTCGGGGGTCGCCAGGGCAGGACCTCCTGCCGCCTCCTTCTCTAAATCCCAGCCTTGCTGTCCCCTCAGCTGCCCACGGCCTGCGAGAGGAGCCCGAGTTTGTGACGGCGCGAGCTGGTGAGGCCGTGGTTCTGCGATGCGACGTGATCCACCCGGTGACCGGGCAGCCCCCACCCTATGTTGTGGAGTGGTTCAAGTTCGGGGTGCCCATCCCCATCTTCATCAAGTTCGGCTACTACCCACCCCACGTGGACCCTGAGTATGCAGGTACGGTCTGGCCCCTTCGCCTCCGTCCTCGGCTTTGGCTGGGCTGCCCTCCCCCGCGGGGCCGGTGGTTAAGCTTCCTCCTGCCTTTATCCGTTGCCTCCTCTGTTCTTCTCACGGGTCTGAGAGCTGTTTTCCAGTCTCTGCCTCTTCCTTCCTGTCCTTTGGACGCTGGTAGGTTTTGATTCCGTGGTGGGGAATCAGAGAGGGAGAGGAGGTGATGCAGGCAGGAAGCAGGAGTCGGGGTGGGGGGGGGCAGGCCGGGAGGGCAGCTCTGTGCGGGAGGAGCTGAGTCACAGCCACCGAGCCTGGTCGTGTGCAGCTGTGGTGTTGCGTCTGCCTGTCCCCACACCTCCCTCTGGCGCTGAAGTTGGGCCTCCTTCCCTCCGGGGTGTCAGTGTGTGTCTGTGCCTGTGGCGGCCGCCTGCTCTCTGCCACAGCTGCTCCTGCCAGCGGCGGCCACACTGAGTCACTGTCTGTGCCTGCCGCCGGCCTCGGTGGGGAGGTGGGGGGTGTGCACGTGTGAGCATGTGAGTGTGTGCTTGTGTGTGTGTGAACACGTGAGAGTGTGTGAGCATGTGAGTATGTGAGTGTGTGCTTGTGTATGTGTGAACATGTGCGTGTGTGCCTGTGTGAGCGTGTGCATGTGTGAGTGTGAGCATGTGTGCCTGTGTGAGCATGTGAGTGTGTGAGCGTGTGCATGTGTGAGCGTGAGCATGTGTGAGTGTGTGCGTGTGAGAGTGTGTAGGTGTGTGAGCATGTGCGTGTGTGAGTGTGAGCATGTGTGCCTGTGTGAGTGTGTGCCTGTGTGCGTGTGTGAGCGTGTGCATGTATGAGCATGTGCGTGTGTGAGCGTGTGCCTGTGTGAGCGTGTGCCTGTGTGAGTGTGTGCATGCGTGAACATGTGTGTGCCTGTGCGTTGGGGTTTAAAGGACGGGAGGAAGCTGGCAGGACACTGCTTTTATCTTTCCTTCTGGCTCCTGAGGTCTGCACCGCTTTTCTCTCGGAAAACTTCCGTTTCTCTCCCTCCCTCCTGCGCCTGTGTCTCCTTTCCTCTCTCTGGCCCGGCTGGCTTTGATAGTCTGGCTTTAGGCAGATTGCCAGTGCAGAGACAAGAGGAAGGCGGAGGAGGTTGTGACATTGGAGTGAGGCGGGCTGAGGTGGTGGGGGAGGGGAGAGAGGACCTGAGGGTCCCTGGGCCTCCTCCCTTGTCCTGGAGAAAGGGGGGCCGCTCCCCATTCTGCTGGGCTCCTGCTGCCAAGCTTACCTTCTAGAGCCGTGAGACAAACTTTCAGCGAGCCAAGGATGACTTCTGGGGGGAGGAGGGTAGAGTTAAGGAGGCCGCTGGGTGTCTGCTCTGCTGGCCAGCCCTGTCCTCACTCTCCAGCTCATAGGCCTGTGGCCTCGGCTCTTGGGGCCCTGGGCCCTGGCTGGATCAGCAGTGTGGCCAGCCCTGGTATCAGGGCTGGGAGGGGTCCTAGCACCCTGGTCCCCTGCCTGCCTTCCTTCTGCCAGACAGAGGGGGTATGGGGCGCGGGGCCCAGCTGGGATAGGGGTGTTACTCCACCTGAATGGAAGTGCTCTGGGGCCTGGCCTAGACCCCCAACTTCCTTCCCTCTCTTCTCCCCTCCCTTCCTCTCCCTCTCTCCCTCCCTCTTCCCCCTTATCTCTGTATCCCTCATGCCTTCCCTTTGTCCCCAGCAATGTTCGAAAGAAGGTGGAAGTGCTCTGGGGCCTGGCCTAGACCCCCAACTTCTTTCCCTCTCTTCTCCCCTCTCTCCCTCCCTCTTCCCCCTCATCTCTGTATCCCTCATGCCTTCCCTTTGTCCCCCGCAATGTTCGAAAGAAGAGGCGCATTCTAAGGCCTGAGCTCTTCTCAGTGCCAAGAGCAGGGCTGCAGTTGCAGCTGGGATGGGGCCCGCCGAGGCTGGAGGATGGGAGGGACCGCAGCTCCATGGCCCAGGCTTTATGCCTTTTCCTTTGCCACATGTGGCCAGAGGTCGGTGCCAGCTGTTATTTCGGGCCCTGCCCCCGGGAATGGCCTGCAGGCGACGGTGGGGCCTGTGCCTTTAGCCGGGGTGGGGTGACGAGGTGTGGGCCTCACCCCTGGGCTCTTGTCCGCCTGTCCCCAGGCCGAGCGAGTCTTCACGACAAAGCTTCGCTGCGGCTGGAGCAGGTTCGCTCTGAGGACCAGGGCTGGTACGAGTGCAAAGTGCTCATGCTGGACCAGCAGTATGACACCTTCCACAACGGCAGCTGGGTGCACCTCACCATCAACGGTGAGTACGGGCCTCCTCCCGGGCCGGGAGCCCCCAAAAGCCTGCTGCCTGAGGGCCCGCTGGAGGGGAAGCCTCTTTTCGGGCGGCACCCCATCGCTACTCCCAGTCCCTGCTGCAGAGAGGAGCCTTAGCACGCTGGGCCCCCCTCCATACCCCTCAGCTGGCTCCCCGGAGCCTCGGGTCAGTGGGAGCCTGGAGGAGCTGCTCCCTGGGCTCGGGGCAGGGGTGTGTGGTGTGTGTGTGTGTGGGGGGGGCGGGGGGCAGGGGCGGTGATTCCTCCCTTACTGGGAGGAAGGCATCTGGTTCTTGAAACCGGGGCTAAGGCTTGGTGGAGGCACCGTTCCCAGCCTCGGAGAGACCCTGCCAGCCAGGAAGTGCCTCCCCCCTCCAGTGGAGTTCCCAGAGTCCCCCCATTACTGCCTTCCTTTACAGGGTGACATTTTGGTTCCTTGTGAAATGCATTCATTTGCGTAAGATGTGCTGAGGGCCTACTGTGCGCCACGCTCTGCACCAGGTGCTGGGAAGACGAAGCTGAGCGCACCCTGTTCAGCCCCTGCCTGGACCGGGTTTACTGTCTCCTAAACCAGGAGGATCCTGGGAAGGGGAACAGTTTTAATGGCTGTCAGTTATGGAGAGCTCAGGGTAAACGAGTTGTGCTGTGTGCCATGCTTTTCCAGCGTTCGGGCGAGGAGGCCCATGCGGAGGCGGCAGGGGAGCCTGCTGGCTCTGTGTTGGCCTAGGCGGGGGGCCGGGTCTCCCCGGCTGGAGAGCCCCCTCTGTCACTGGGCGTCCTGACTTGAGAAGGCCTCCTCTGGAGGAGGCAGGAGGAGCTGGGGAGCAATTGAAGGAGAGTGAACCCCATTGTGTGGGGGGAGCAGATGTTTGTGTCTTGTTGTTCTGGCTAGACCCTCACTCTTCCTTATTCAGCGTTTGGCGAAATGTATTCAGCCACACTGTGCTGCAGACACTGTGCTAGCTCCCGAGGCTTCGACGGCGCATGGGCTTGGGCGAGCACACACAGCTGGGTCCTCATGGCTCTGATGACTGGAGATGCCGTGGTCGGGAGAGGGTTGGATGGCGTCCCGCTCGGATGCTTCTCAGCATCAACCTGGCCCGACCTGCCCCGAGGGATGGCTCCGTCTGCCCACCTGTAGGGCCGGGTCGGCCTCCCAGAGCTCGGGTCCGGCAGGCCAACCCATCCAGGGTCCTGGGAGCACAGAGCATTTGAGCCAGAGCCCTGACCTCTGGGGAGGGCAGACTTAGAGGTGGCCGCCTAGGTCCGTGTTGGTCCAGGCTGCCGGACCCATTCGATGCAGCAGCCGGCTCGCGTCAGCCAGGCCCCAGAGACTGATGGGAGGCTGGCTTTAAATCCTGGGGGGGGCTGTCCCTACCACCCGGCAAGCTTTTGAGTCACCTCCTTTGGCTGCAAGCTGTTGTGTGTGCCGGGAATGAAAACTCATCTTAATATTAGCCCCAGCAAAACATCATTAGGGAGGCACACCCGCGGCTGAAAGCCTCACTGAAGGCTGAGCCAGGAGTCCCCACGCTGCTCTGTCTCTCCTGTGCCCTTTCCTGCACCGGCTCAGCTTCCCTGGCGCCTCCGCTCCTCCTGTCCTCCGGCTGGTGTTCATTCAGCAGCCTGAGACCCAGGCGTCCGTAGACACTACTTGCAGGGCAGGAAGTAGGCTTGTGTGTTTGGTACAGCCTCTGTCTTCGTTTGCATGAGTGGGAGTCGATTCTTCGGGGACTCCTAATTGCTCGGAGTGGAACCGGCATGGAATAAGAGGCTGCAGACACTTGGTTTATGTCATGAATCCATCACGTGGTAGCTGTCTGATCCTGGGCGACTTAAGTCACCTCTCTGAGCCACGGTTTTCTCAGTTACCAACCACAATGCCTATTGGCAAAGCCGCCGCGAGGATTAAGGGCAGCGCTGTGTGAGAACGTGCCTGGCCCGGTGTCTGAAGGGTTCATGACCTGTAGGTAATTATGGGTAAGATGCTGGCCATCCTCCTTCTCGAGAGAAAAAACCAAAACACACGCAGATGGAATCAGAGGAGAGTGTGGCCGCAGGGATATATGGTGACACAGGAAGGACTTCGGGCTGCAAGAGGCAGAGGGCTGTCATGATTTGAAAGTGCTTGTGCGTCACCAGTCATTACCCATTCAAATCCCAGCGTCCGCTCTGTGGCAGGCTCTGGGGGCACAGTGGTGGGCAGCCACGTCCAGAGACAGTTGTGATATGGGCTTTGGGAGCGTCTCTGGGGGAACCACCCTGTGCAGAGAGAGAGACCCGGGCAGGGACGGGGAGTGAGCCAGGTGCAGGGTGGGGCGGTGGGGAAGAGTGCTCCAGGCAGAGGGAACAGCATGTGCGAAAGCCCAGAGGAAGGCGAGCCGGCCCGCTCAGGGCTCAGGGAACGCAGGCAGGTTATTTATATAGGAGTGTTCGGTGGGAAAGCTAAGGATGTGCACCATCTGCTCCAGGCTTTAGAACCAGGCTTCTCACTTGCCTTTACCAAGGAGCCTACCTCCCAAATAGGTAGAACAGCACAGACAGCTCCTACGGTGAACGGGAGACCTCTCTCCTTTCTTCTCCTTTCCCTTCATCTCCTTTATTCTCCCTTCCCTTCATCCCAGCGTACATGCTGTCCTGGCTGAGGAGGCTGGAGCCCCCACCACGCCACGGCTTCCAAACTAGAACGTTTAATGTCAGGCATTTTCTGACAGGGATCACCTTTGGAAAATGGAAAGGCCAGTGAAAAATTAGAATTACAAATTGTCTCCTTCTCCTTCTGCGTTTTCTTGAAGATCGGTTGTGTGGAAACAAACCCAATTATTTCTTTATC